CCCCCCGCCCAAAAGCATTGCAAATTATGAAAAAAGAAAAACTTATAAGAAATATGTATTCAAAAAGTATTACATGTGCATGTGAAATAATTATTTTATTTGTGTACATTACCCAAAGTACAGACTGGTTTACAGAGAGGAATTAACCAAAAAATGTTAAGAATCCAAAATAGTTGGGACAAAACAGGTGGTGGTTATTGATGATACATTTAGGACACGTGTCACCTTGTTTGTGATCAAAGAGGAAAAATTGAGAAATTATAAAGTACGTATTAGTATTTCATGGTCAAAACAAGGGCGGTAGAGAAATTGCAAACCTTCTGGTGACTAGATGCAATATGATTTTTAAGCTTGTACTCATGTGCATATCGCTTTCCACATTCTGGATACGGGCAGATATGATAGTTCTCCTGGGAGTGTGTTTTCATATGTGATCTTAAGTTAAAATCCAGTGAGAATGCCTGCATTGGTTTCAAAGGAAATCGGTAAAATCGAAGCACAATAATTACGACAAGCTATCTAAAACAATAGTAGTGTACATGCGCCATATACATGCAAGCATGTCTGTGTTCCTGGACGTATATCCCGAAAGAAACAAGAAACAACATAGAATTCCCACAGTAACAGAGAATTTGGAAACACTTTTTCCTGATAACCAAGAAATCCCTGAGGGCCAGCTGGCGCACTTTTTCGCTTCTTGTCACCTTTTTTTCTTTGTTTTATTTCTTTTGGTGGGTAAGAGGGAGAGGCCCTGGATAGGGTAAAGGGAAAGCATAAACAGGAAGAACTATTTGATAGCTGATGATTTATTACCTTGCCACAGCCTTCATGTGGACATACATAGTCTCTTTCCCCAGTGTGAATAAGAAAGTGCCGTTTTAGCTTGGAACTATCCAAAAATTTCTGCAAAAAGAAGATGAGATACAATTGAAGACCTGTACAACTAGCCCAAATGGACTCACAGGAAAAAAACACAAGAAATAAATGAAGGAACCATATGCTTGAACTTGCATATCATAGAAATAAGATGGATTTTTTTCTCCTCAAGACAGAAGATTAAGTTGATCCTAAACAGTATGACAAACTACAAATCCAATCTACCCATGATTAGCACACACTGAATCTGAGGCTCAAAATGGTTGAAGAAGGTTCAATTGTAAATGAAACAATACACTCCTATAATACAACTTCAATAAACTCCTCTGCCAACCAACTCATTACGAAAATATCTAATGAGTTCAAGGAGAACATATGGTATCCATCGAGAAACAGAGTCCCCATATGAACTACGGACTTCTAAAAGGAACAGTACATATAAAACGGTAATATAGTTGCGACAAGGAATGAATTCCATGTTCCATCTCTTTCCCCCACTCAACCCTACCAGAGGACAATGTCATGAAAGCAAAATAAGTAAAATAGAAAAAAGAGCAATACAATGAGATGCTCTTTGCAAAAAGAAAAAAATCATAAAATGAAATGACCAAGCATATAGTGCAGTCTTAATGCAAAGACAATAAACTCTTACCTTTCCGCAGCCCTCATAGTGACATACATACTGCCTCTCCCCGTGGATGTGAGAATGCTTCCTCAACGCCCCGGCATCAATAAATGTCTTTCCACAACCATCATAGCTACAAAGGAAAAGAACTTCAGTAGTTGGCTCCGGCTCTGGCACGGGTACTTCTGGCTCTTTGGGCTTCTCCTTCAGAGCTTTTAATGTGGCCTCTGATAAACAAAGTAGACAGGGAGAAATATAAGGTCAAACTCAATGTACAACCTAAAAGCCACAGCATATGACGAAAAAAGCAGTTAATAATCCTGCAAAGATCCAGAAAAATAAAGAATATAAAGTGAACCAACATAAAACTATAAGAAAGATGTATAGGAGCTTTCAGAATTGAACCAACCATTCACCCACTTTAAGAGGTAGCACTTCCCACCAGTTGCTACGACATCTTGCGGGACCCTGGGAAAAATGATAATAGTAAAAGAATTAAAACACAGTATGAACTATAATGAAATCGCATGGCTAAAAACACTCTTCTCACCCAACTCAGTGACTAGTGACTGATCCTCTGAGATAATTAAAGGACAGGTTAAATGAAATCAAACACGTGTCTGAACTACTAAAAGTTCATGC